CTCTTTTTTTTTTACCAGTCTTCTATTAGTGTTTACTGAAATGCGGAAATATAAAAATTATCAATCTAATACTGTGTAACCTTAGGAGCATACGTACTTTAGTAGAAATGTGTAAACAGTAAGTGATGAGTACTACTTATTTAATTTGCCATTCTACTAAATTAGAATTGTTTGATTTAAACCCATCTTGTGCCGCTCTTCCTTCTGTGTATTACTATCCTCGCAACTCACTGTGTATTAGTGAATAGACTGAGGATTATTGATATGTTCTCTTATTATCAAATTGTCATTATGGTACTGTTCTGGAAGAAGGGTAAATGACTACTGGAAAGGCTTCTATCTTCTAAAGTACTAAGACAATGTAAATCAGCCATCATTACAGCTAAAATAAGCTATTAATGGTATTAAAACTGAATTATAAAGCCAAAAATATTAAGATGGACAATGTGAATAAAACTAACTAATCACCACCACAAAATATCAAAATAACAACATTCATACAGCAGTGCCAAAAAAAAAATTATTTAATTTTTTTATAGAATAAGGGTGACAATCAAACACGGACAACCTGATGGCAAGTTGGTATTTTCGACTTTACTGCCTCGTTGGTCTAAGTTGTAAACATGACATGAATCAGTTATCAGTTTTTCCATTGTGAAATTCTCAGTAGCTGCTTGGAGCCCTGAAGTTGGAGGTGTCTCATTTCCCCTGTGCCTGATCTCTGTCTGGTTGAGATGGATTACCGTCCTATCAGACTATGAGAGTGAGGGAATAGATAGTGCACCTGTGCTTGTGTATACACTTGGTCACTACAATCCTGTCCTGTACAAATGGCTAGTCTCCGTTGAGGCAGGCCACTGTGACTGAAATTTGGTCTGGAGGAAATTATATTATATTATTATTACTTTGGACTAAAGACATCTACTATCTATCCTCGATCAAGAATCAAAATGCAAATGTGTTGTCAACCCTGAGGACTAAGATTGAATGCCTCATGTCCAGTAAAGTGGGTCTATGGTTTGCTACCACTATACACTCTATGGCTCTTTCACATAAAAAATATTTGTGTTCATATATTGTTATGTTCAGCTTGTAGCGGCAACAGAAGGAAACCTAAAGAAGATGATCCACAACATCTTCCTCATAACAACTCAAAGTAATAAAAAACTGGTTGCCAACCTGCCAGCCAAGCAGGTTAAATATACATAAGGAGACCTATTTTAGCTATTGACTTTGTTTAGGTTGTAATTAATAAATGAATGAATTGCATAAGTGTCATAAAAACTTATCAGCAAATCTAAAAAATACTCTTACTGGATTTTTATCTTTCCATTTGGTAGTTATTATTGTGTTGTGATGTTGGAAATCCAATTTAAGGTATCTCCATGTTTTGTGGTCAATGGAGTCAAATCAGAATGAGGGTATTGAAGCTTCAAGCTTCATCATACAAGTGTATCGCAATGATGCACACACTTGTGTGATGTGTGCATCATTGTGACAGTGCAGGTTTAACGTATAGTAGCAGCCAGGGAAAATAATGCAATGCCTGTGTCTGTAATAAATTTCACTTTGTTTTCTCTGCCTGCTACTAAGTGAATCCTGAGCTTTTGTGCATGCGTTGCGAAGTACTTCCATGGAACTTCTGCATTCTTAGTACCAGCCTGGAGTCTGGAAGTTGGCGATGTTTCACCCTTATACCTCGAAAAGCACATAAATCCACAGATCCTGCACCTGTTCACTCTCATGTTATGTCAGATTGAACAGTCCCATTGAACTATGAGAGTAAGGGAATAAAGAGTATCTGTGCTTGCCTACACATTTATTCAATATAATCCTGTCCTGCACCAATGACTAAAGTATGTTGAGATGTGTAACTGTGACCAAATTTTCTTCTGGAAGACATTGTATTACATTGTATCGATACTCATGGGTTGGGTGCTCTCACAATTAAAAAAAATGATTTAGATATACATACCAAAATTAAAAATAGTAATTTTAGGTTTGAAAAAAGTAAGTAACAGCAAAGGCATATTTATTCTGTGGCCTAGAGATTTGTTGAAATAAGTTACAATATTATTCTCTTTCAGCCTGCAAAATTCTACTGCTATACATGGGTGTACCCCAATGAAGATAGGATTTGCCTTAATTTGCCACACAGTAATCATCACATTGTTACATTCAAAGTTCACTGCTGAACATAGGTCTCCCTGTAGATTGTCTCAAAGATGGGGATTTTTGCCATAGTTAGGCCGATTGGCTAAGGCAGTTATAATTTTAGGTTGTTATTAGGAAGATGTGCTCGTCTCTCACACACATCATCTACAAGCCGAATGCAATATGGAATAGTAATTAATTTTTTAGGCCCTGTTGCTTGAGTGTTATTATTTTGAAATTTTTTGATATTCTTTTATGGTGACATTAATTTTATGCATATTTGTCCATATTCTTAGTCTGAGCATTCAATATCGGCCTGCGATAAATAGCTACAATACCATTTTTCTGATTATGTCATGAGATCTTCTTGTCAGTGGCTTAAGAGAGCAGGTTTTAGAAGGAGGCATTTTGGAAATGACAGTCGATCACCACCTTGTCATTTTGCCTCTACATACCCTGGGCAACAGCATCAGCCATGGTTACGTCATGCCAGCATAGGCTCTACGCCACTGTTTGTCATTTCCCATAGTTACCTCTTATAACACCCAAGGGATGAAACATGATGACTGATTATTTTAAAGCACTCTTAAATGGGCGAGTTTTTCTCTCTCTCATAGTGTTAAAAACATTATCGTTACACTAGGATTTTCTCCTGTATCATGGGGGCAGTTTTCAAATATTATGCACTAGGACGAACATCCAGACCCGAAATAATCACTTGTAGGCATATAAACACTTGTTCCATGAGGGATTTGAACCCTCTGCCCTCATCGCGATAACTCATTGCTAAACTACTGAGTTTGTCAATCTGCCTACTGGGACGTGCGGGGCTGATATAACTTATCCTATCTACAATAGAGGCAAACCCGTATTGGCGTTACAGACTTCTGGCCAACAGTCTGTTCTGGACTGGTAAGAGACGTTGGCTAAAATTTCTCGGATGGCAGCCTCATACCGGCAAGCGGTGTTGGAGTGATGACCTGGCGAGACATGGTAATTGATGGATGCAAACGCACATGCTATGGCAATATGTAGAAATATTTCTTTGTACTTAGCTGTGTCAATGTAGGTTCTTATACGTAAGACACCATGCATCTTTTTAAGATAAGTATGAAGTGACATGAGGACTACTAGGTATGTTACTCGTTACATGTCAGTGTTGGCATTTAACGAATGTTGGCGAAGTGTTACGCTACGTAATGTACGTGTGCATGCTTACTTACACAATAAATAATTTGGTTTGAAATTTTCTAGCGTCTTTTATTTCTTAGTTTAATTTATGTAGTCCCAAACCAATACAACGGATAAGCAAATGTTACCTTTGTAGACCCCTCAGAAAAAATCGTTTTTAAATGTTATATATAAGAATTATATAACTAAATTCTTAAAATTTTTATTAGAATTAGTCTCTTTACTAAATTACTTAACAGCGCCATTGAATAAATTCACAGGTCGATGTAGTACTTGACACCGTGTAGATGGCGCTGTTACAGAATTATTTCATTTCATTAAGGCTTCAAAAATATGGAGTGTAGAGTAGAAGGAGAACCATCTTATAAGGAGCGAAGGTTGAAAAAGTGTCCTACTATTTACTGTAAATAGAGGTTCCAAAACCTACCACAATAGCGCTGGCGTCTGAAAAACTACGATATGAAGATAGCTGTTATGAACGGAGTGAAGTCAGCTGAATTCAAATATTTCATGAGTAGAGTAGTTAGTAAAACGCCAATATACAAAATCTCAACTATTTACGTAGTACAAAACCAAGCGGATTGATCGGTCCTTATTTATTTCTCCATCTTATTCTAAATACTTTTGGCGCTTCTTTTTTAATTTATCCTATGCTACTGCAGCGCCACCCTTATTGGACACGTTTTTAGGGACACTTTTCATATACAGAGATGGTCCTCCTTCTACTCTACACTCCATATTCAAAAATAATTATATTGTCCCATTATTAACAGTTCCACCGCAATCAAAATGAATGAAACATTTAATCTATGGTTTTGGAGGTGTTATGTTTATGTTCCTATACATCTTCCAAAAAGTATATAGAATTCACAATTTTCTTGTCCTTGACGTTTGAATAAACCCATACTTTTGTCAAACAACACTATCTCCTTATAGTTAAAATTAAAATGTTTATCATATAAATCGTTCGCAATTTCGTGATCATAAATAAACGTTTATAATATATAGTACACTGATTGCTGAGGACCTGAGTCCACGCTCGCCATACCTTTATCCTGGGTTCGGTTCCAGTCAGAATGTTACTATCCCACTATCCAGACCGGCGACAGACAGCAACGTCAAAAGACGAGTAGTCTAGTACTCCGATCGTCAATCCACCTTCAAAGTGTGAAGATTGTATCTGGGCGGCGTTTAGCTCATACAAATTTATTCCTCTGTTTTCATTCTGAATAATGACACTAGAGTAAATATTTTTACGCTTCATTTTTTATCTTTGTAGTTTGTATCTATGTAGAGCCATGTACCTAAGTTTTGTTTTTTACTATAAATATTTTTTTTTTAATTTAAACTGCCCAGTCATATCGCCATTATTAAACATTGGCAAAATAAAAGAAAAACACACAGCATAACCACAATCCCTCTTATATTGTACTGTCGTTTGGAAGAAGAAAAGTGAATATGGAATTGTGATTGTGAGTTCTATTCTTCAAATTTCTGGCAGGCAGCCCGGATATCCTTTTAAGGTCAATCCTTTCTTTTCTCCTTAATATGTACCAGATCTTGACTACAATGATTCTAATGTTTTAAAACGATACCAAGTTCTTATACATCTACAATAAAATTCATTTCAATTTTAAATTGTGGTTTTTTTTATTCTCACAATCATAGAGCACTATATTTTCATACACCAGCTGTATAATATTTTTATACACATATTGTATAATGTTTGTTAGTTCTCCTTCTGTAGCGTTGTACAGGTTCGTGTGACCCCTGATCGTAATTTCGGACGGTTGTGTACGTTGCGTTCATGGCGCAGTATCATTTTCCTGTAAAAAATTATAAAAAATATTATTTGCGTTAATTAAATCGTTTACACTTTAATTACAGCTTATCAAAATCAATTGCTGAATAAAGATCTCCTCCCATAGATTGCCTCTGAGCGAACATATTTGCCATAATTAGCACGTTTGACAGTCGGGTTGGCAACAGCAACTTCTTAATATTTTCAATTGTAATGCTGCTGCCCATTTCCCGTTACCTTTCCCGCAGTCGCGTAGTGTTGCTCTAATTCACAAATAAAAAAAAAAGTCCCGCTTCACTCACTCGCTAACTAACAAACAGTACAGATGTTCCATATATAAAGTAGACAAGAATTAAGAAAGGATCGGGAATAAATAAAGTTGACATATTTCCGAAACTATATTTATTTGGGACTAAAAATTAGGCGTGTAAGTAGGTAATTAGATATAATCACTAATCTTATTTTCGCACAACTATAAATATGAGAGACTTCAGATTTGGCAAGTAAATAGGGAATTACAAACAAAATTGCCGTAATTTGCAATACCACGCGAGCTAAGCCGCGGGTGGTCGTTAGTCATAGATAATATACAACAAGGCTTATGTGCACCTGTGTGTTGACTTTTTCGGACCGATAAAGAAAGAAGGAAGAATATTTAATTACCGTGTCGCGAATGTCTTGCCACAAGTAGAGCAATTGAAAGGTTTTGCATCTCTATGTATTGTTGCGATATGGTTGCTTAAAGCCTGGAAAAATAAACATAAAGTCAACGTTTGGTAAGTAATTTTGTCTCGGTATCTCGATTGGCGATTGCAAAATCAATTTAGTCTTATGTCATGGTCTGTATAGTGTTTATACAGGATATAAGCCACGGAGTAAATACAAAGAGGAGATGGCCTAAGCAATTGTGCACTGGATTCTAACTAGGTCCTGACGTCATCACAGTGGGCGTGGCTTTAGTTAGTATACTGTCAGCGTTCGTCCTGGGCGCTTATGTGTCGAAAATCGCAAATCGGTGTATTTTCGTAGTATTAAGAAGAAAAAGAAGACGTGTTATGTTTTATCGTGTAAAAACTACTCAGATAGACGCTCTGATGCTATAGATGGCATCATATTTCATTTTTAAGTAATTTTATACCTAATTTATTAAATAGTTCTAGAAAAACCTCTGCGTCGGCTTACAAATATAATTAAATATATTTAACACTAGATGGCGACACTTTGTATCATGGGAACTAAAAATATAAAGGTACGTAGTGCTCAGTATTGGTAAAATAATCAAACGAAGGTGCTGAAATTTGTTTTGCATTCAGTCCTAAAGAATTTATAATTAATCGCCAAAATATTAATTTTTTAGTTTTTATAACCATTCTGTGAACAGGCCGCCATCTATCGTCAAGGTAGTTAAACTACATTGCAACATCGATATTGAACGATGCGAGTAGTTTTACTATTTATCGGTAGATGGAAAATAGTTAAGTGGGCGGAGCTTAACACCCCCTTACCCCGCAAATTATCACGCGTTGTTACATAATGAAATCTAATTACAACACCTCTTTGTATTTGCTCCGTGGTATAAACACTATACGGACCGAATGTTATTCGGTCGAAACCAATAAAATTTTATACTCTGTGCACTTTATAAAATTTATAATGGTATTATGTCATTTATGTCATAAACGAACACAACACATTGATGTCTGCCACTTCCAGTTACATTTACTTTATGATTATTTATAACTTTTTATGTTACTTAGTTTGACGCGTGACACTCGAAACAAATCAATATCTTATTATTAACAACTTTTTTTTGTGCCTAATGCAAGGCTACCCTCCAGAAGCGGGGGTGGGAGGTGGTGAATGCTCATAGCAGACCACGCAGCCGGCTGCGTGGTTATGTGGGACTCACTAAGAAGTGCCTACCCACTAAGGGACTGGCTCTGGCCTGAGTGGCCTATTCGCCGCATCGGAAACGAACCGGACACGTGACACCGGACACCCAACGGCGTGGATTATGAACAACAACTATCCTATCCTTTTTATACTTATTAATTTATTCTTTTTTTATGTACTATATGCCCAAATATTATATTCTATATTATTTAAGTTTCTCATGTAATAAACCGCGCGCTGAAGGTTGATCGATGATAACCCCTCCCACTTCCGCCCCCAATACCACCAGCAACGCTTTTATTGACGTGTGACGTCATTACGCTATCGGCACACCTGTGCGCGAGTTGTGTTAATTTACTATGTGGTCAGCAGTGAAGAGGACACGACTACGATTCTTAAGGCGCCATGATTTGAATTCGCATAGATCTCGACGAGATATGCCGAAAAGAAAGAATAACATTTTACGATATCTCGCTTAGATTCCGAGATATTAATACTCAAAAATTACTTTTTTTTATACAGGAATATTGACCCAAAGTTACTTCTGTAACGGCTTCAGCGCTGCGGGAAGTACAGCCCCTTCGCCCTTGCGTAGCAAATCGCAGGCACCCATGCATCACCGCTGCAGCTTTTGGCTTATTGATCCAGCCTCAAGCGCTATGGCTTGCACAGTTGCCTGCGATTTGCTACGCAAGGGCAAAGGGGCTGCTCTCCCTCTACGCCTACGGCTTTAAAAGAACACTCTAGGGGTAGGGCAGACAAGACTAAGTGGAGTCGGAGCGTGCTGATTCGGTTTTAGTATTCGATTTATGAGTATTTCGTATCTCGTCGGGATCTATGCGAAGTCCCCTTTAAATCGTGGCGCCATTGGAACCGTAGACGCCGGAGCGCCTTCACGGAGAAGGGAAACATCACAATAAAACCTGCGTGACTGCAGGGTGAGAACGAGATAGGGATCTTAAAAATACTTTGAAGGCTTAATGAATCAATTATATCATCATCATTAAAGTCTATCAGTCTAATGCTGATCATAAGGCTCGCCCATAGATTGTCTCATAAGGGATACATTTGCCATAGTTGCCACGTGACAGGTGGATTACCAATCCCAGTTTCTTATTCAATTGAAATGACACAATATGAATTGTTATCAAGAATATGCTGCTTCCCATCTGATCTAATTCCCCTCTATCACTTCTTACGACACCCACGGAATGATATGGGATGGGCTTCGCGTCACTCATTATATTACAGAAGAGGAAATAAAATGGATCCGTATTGAATTGTTACTTCTAATTAGACGATACTACTTCTTAATAAGGTTTAATCGTAAGTTAGGAACAACAGGATGTTCTGAAATAGGCTGTGTTATACAGAAACGTTTCAAATTGAAAGATAAATGCATTTTTCTTGTGGCTGAAGGCCCAGTACATCGTGTTCCTATGTATATAATTTTATGTAGCTTTTGGGATTACTTGTTACTTTTCAGAAGTCGATAAACCGAAGGAAATAAACAGAAAAAAAGAGACCGGATCATTATTTTGACCAGCTTATGGGTTGCAGGATTTCTCCACAACACGGTTCGATTGGTCAGCGATAAACAGTTATATCTAAATACCAACCAACCCATACATATATATCGCCACGACACGCAATAAAAATATTTTTTAAAACGCCTACCTCTTTAAACCTAAATCTTCGTTGGCACGCCTCGCAATGATAGGCCGGAGGTAAATGACGTCGTCGATGTGAAGCCAAGTTTGAGGCGTTGGGAAACGTCGCGGAACACAGCGCGCAATGGAACGGCCGCTCGCCGCTGTGCAGCCGCAAGTGCACCGCGAGGGCGTGCCTAGTGCGGCCGCGGTACGAACACTGCACGCACCTGTACTGCGGCTCCTCTGTGTGGATTGATCTAAAAGGGCGTTTGACTTATGTTTCACGTTGCGGGTGTGGGGGAGGGGGGGGGGGGGCATGATGAACAAGTATCGACTTACTACAAAAAGTAGTTTATAGTAAGTCTCAGGTTTAAGCTAGATTATGTTTCAATAAAGAAGTACCGTGGAAAATATGCGAAATTTCATACATGGTAGAGCCATCCATCCATCAATCCATTACAGCCCATAAAAGTCCACTGCTGAACATGGCCTCCCGCATAGATTGCTTCATAGGGAGGATTTTGCCATAGTTGCCACGCTTAGCAAGCCGGTTGGCAACCACGTTTTTATTATAGTTGCAATATATCACGATGTTAGCACGAATGGGTAGGTATCACCGGTGAAGGACCACGCTCCCACAGAATACCAACGTAAAGTAATAGCTTAAATGCTGTCGTGTTTCGTACAGTGAGTGTAAAGAAATGGAGTCCCTTTTCACTGGAAAACGAGGCATTCCATTTTAATCCTCAAGGTTGACAATGCATATGCATTTTGATTTCTAATCGAGGATAGATGTGGGTGTCTATGAGCCACGGCATCCACTTACCATCAGTTGAATTGTGTGCAAGTTTGTCACTCTCATTCTGTTTTTAAAAAAAATAGTACCTATGGAATTAACTAATATCCAACTGGGTGGCAAGTGATGATCTAGCCGAAAATAGTAAACCACAGACTTGGCTTAGCAAAATCCTATGCACTCTTAACTTGAAGACTTATCTGTTATTGTTGAAAATTACAGATTGGCTGCTTAAACTTGATTATGAAAAAACAGAACAATTGCTGCAAATTGCACCTTAACATACCAAGTACGTGGTACGAGTTAACACACACACACACACACACATACACACACACACACACACACATACACACACACACACACACACACACAACACATACGATTCACTCGCTTACGCGTATCTCGCAAACAAAAAGAAAAAAATGGCACTACAATATTTATTAAAAAAAAATCACGTTGATCATCCTAAAGGGAGATCCGGGAGATATATAGCACAAGGAATCCTACTTTGGACTCCCGTCTCCCACAAATTTAAGTACTCTGCTTTATTTATAAGAAAAAAAAATGTTTGTAAAAGATAAATGGCAATGTACTATTTGTGGGAGAAAATAATAAAGATTATTATTATTATTATTGTAATTTCCACTCCATTGCTGTATGCATAACGAACGACGAAGCAAACCGTTGCGCTGGTTCGAAGGTATAGTAAGTCGACAACATAATGCATATCATCTATTTATTCAAAAAATATTTTCTTGCTTTTTTTTCTGATCTACATTGACGGCTCTATGGCGCAGTGGCTTAGCACTGAGTCGCGGCGTTGAAGTTTGTGGATTCAAAACCCCACACCGAACAAGTAACTAATTGGCTTTCAAAAAAAAATTACCGAGTGTAGATATTTATCCTTGTGTAATTTCAGCATGTAAACTGCCTCCACGATACAGGAGCAAATTCTAGTGTGGGGGTAACATTGTTAAAAAATTACCTGTGTCTCTTTAATTGGGGTATAGTCTTAAACTCAAAACCACATGTCTCACATATGTAGCTCCTAACCTTTGTCTGACAATGTAGCAGCAACTCATGTTCTTTGAATTCATCCTGCAAGAAATAAAATGGACGGAAATTGGACACTTATATTATAATTTATCAATACGACGCAAAAAAAGTAAATAAAGCAAAACTATTGGTAAATCCAAGGCACATTAAAAAAATTACGTATAACACACAACTACAAGTAGTTTAAATACACACAAGTTTTCACTAATAACCTTATTAGGTATATACTACTTCCAATTTTTCGATAATTTTATGTCAAATTTCAATTAAAAAAGTTTGGAAAATCCAAAAGTGCACGACTCATAATGCTCATATGATCATCATATCATCATTCAGGTCACTCCATAAAATCCAAGACGTATTTAAGTATATTTATATATAAATCCTAATTACTTTTAGTACGTAGTACTATTATTTATTCTGTGCTTTTAAAATATTGTAATAAAAATCTGTGATTATAATAATATTTCACAGAAATCTGTGATTATAATAATAATATTTTGTATTTGTACAGCGATCTTTTTGAGCACGAGCCGCTGCAAACAACCGATACAGTATCCATCACAGAGTACTTTGTATAATCCGAAAGTTTCCACTCACGACGGCAGCTAAGCCCGAAGTAAGTGAGATAAAAACACAGAAATAAATAAAGAACAGCGTTGTAAAAAATAAATTTTTACAACGCTGTTCAAAACATCGAAATTTCGGGATTTCTCAACCGAAAAAAATTATTATAACTAAAGAAAACAAAATTAAACTGCCACCTACATTCCATGGATTCCCACATGATAGATGAAGAGATTAAAAAGTAGATTGAGTCGAAAAATTTATGTTTTATTTTTTACCCCCCATAGTTTAAAACCACACCATAGCCACTAACCACTTTTTTATGTAAAATAGCAATTAAACGATTAAAAAAAATAATTTCAACAACTTTCTGACAATGTGCTTTTAATACCATTTATATGTACAATATGATTGTTGGATACGATTTCATGCGACAAAACGTTGGAATCTTGATTTTTAAGCCCTAGTAGAACATCCTACGCGCTTCGCGCTTAAGGCATGCAAAAGTCAGGATGTTCACATTAATTATTATAACTATAGATAAACCGTTAGGAGGATGTGCTCAATCGACTTAAATTTCATAGTATGCACAACCAAATTTTGAAACATTACAAAATGTACGATAAAATTTACCTGATTTAGAAAAACTCGTCGGCATTTGTCGCAGACCCATTTGAGAAGGATATCTGTCTCTTCTGTATTAAAATAATCATCTCGTGTTTCGCTCTGTGCCTCCGTGTCACGTTCAGCAGCTAACTCTGACACTAAACATGAAATAAACTATTTTTATTTATGTATAACTTCTTTAATTTAAAGTGTTTTATTTCTTCATGTCGTAAAATATTTGTCCAGAATGTACCTAACGTCTGACTGTAAGAGAATGCCGTTCGGTATTAAAACCAACATATCCACTACGTTGCATAAAATGCAATGGGTCAGCCATATAGCTTGAATAATCAACAACGAATAGTTAAGAAAGGATCTCTAATGCCAGCCTCATATCAGTAAGGAAAGTGTGGGAGTGACAAACTGATAAGACATGTAGGAAGTCAATGGATGAAGGTGACTGAGGATGGTGTTTTGTGACACTTTTATGGCTGTGATGAATTAATAAATGAGAACTTTATTAAAGTTATTGACAAAAAAATATTTAACTATGCAATAATTTAAATCCAAATTAGGAGTGGTTGAAAGACAATATAAAATAATTTAAAATTAAAAATTTTGTACAACTGACTTCAATATAAATTATTGGGAATAACTCAAAAACTATTGGTCAGACCTTGATCAAAATTTATATGGGACCACATAAGAAGACAGTCTCCTTTTTGAAGTTGGTAGAAAAAAGAATTTTCAATAGATGCAGAATTTGTTCAGAATTTTTAACATGCAAATGCAGCAAATTAGCAATCCAAGTATGATGTTTAACACTGCTTAGCATTGCCAGTCTGCAGATTTTATAATTGGTATAAAAAGTTGGTAGCAGCATGCCTTTCCCAAAGTCATCTTTTCCAACACTTATGGAATTAGACAGGATGAGTTTCTGATATGCGCACATCATGGGATGTGATTGCCATCTAATTAGTTCAATAAAAATTCTGTAACTAGCTTTATAATATATATCAAGTAGATTTTTTTATTTACCTATTTCTAATTCATGTTGCAGTCTCCATTGTGAGGTCACAGCAGTATCCTTAAGTCTAGCAGCCATTTTAATTGTCGTCTCACAGCTCTCACATATGTATTGTGGTTTGCCATCATTTTCTGATATCTAGATCAAGGTATTTACTATTCAAGTTTGCATTTTCATAATAGTGAAGTAACATTACGGATTAGTAAACTGAAGTGGCAATGAGTCGGGCCATATAGCTTGAAGAACTGACAACTAATGGGGAAGACCAGTTCTCAAGTGGTAGCCTCGTACCGTTAGGCGAAGTGTGGGACGGCCCCCAACTAGATGGAATGACTACTTGGTAAGACATGCAGGAAGTCAATGAATGCAAGTGGCTTAGGAGTGTGCTTTGTGGCATTGCTTGTCCCACAAGCCTATGTTCAGCAGTGGACTTGTGAAGTGATGTAATGATGAACATTTTACGTAATTAGTGCACAAGTAGTGAACTGTGTTTGATGACTGTAATTTTTTTTGTGTTGATTAAAGCATGTCCTCCCTACAACGGGAGAGACCCTTGTTAAGCTGTAGACTTTTGTGGGCCGATAATGTTAATGATTAAATTTATACTAACAAACCTAGAATAAACAGATGCTCTACTGTATTAGAGTTAGTGTGACTAGGCAAACAAAACGTTATAAAAATATTTTTGCTATGGTATCATTTAAATAGGTAGATAGATAACACTTTATTGTACACCAAACTATTGTATATAGCTATTAAATTGAATATTCCAGATGTTAATATTAGAAAAAGAACAAAATAATTCTTACCTTACGCTAAGTGTTGTTTTTAATATGTAAAAAACACCCTGTCCAATCCAAAACGTTCACATGGATACTATAATAATAATAATTTATTCATGTAGAAAAGTGATACAGAGTAAGAGTCAAACAATGAATCTTATATACTAAATATGTTCTTAAAAATGAACTTGCTTCCTAAGTTAGGGTAAACCCTGTGTTTTAGGTTAAGCAAAGCTCTTCCCACTTACATAAATCCTTAAATAAGATACACAAAATATAATGAAATAATACAAAAGTGACTCAAAAAAAATAAATCCTTAGAATTTAAAAGACATGCACAGATCAAAATAAAATAAAAAAAAAATTCCAGAGAAGTAACTAATTGACATCTATGAACACTTATCCAAGTACTGTTAACAAATTCTCCGTTTCTTCATAAGACTTTAGTTGAAGCCATTTTCTGAGGGCAATGTTTCATTCCTGCCTATTCATAGAATATATATGAACAATTTTGTTTACTTTATTATATAAATATGGGCCAAGAAAGCAAAAATATATTTTTATGAATTTTGTGTTGAGCTTAAAACTGGACTGAATCACAATGTCTTTACGACGTTTACATTTGATTTTGTCTGGGTCATAATTTATAGACTGATGCTGTTTTTTAATAACATTTAGAACAAATAGTTGGCGAACAGTTAGTAGTTGGCAGTTATTGTAGAGTAATATTGTAGGATATTGAAATGGTTTAAAAGTGGAGACCTTTAAAAGAGCTCTTTGAGCCCTTTCTAAAGAAACCATGTGCGTTTTTAGAGCCCCACCCCAACAAGAAATGCAATAAGTTAACAAAGATTCACACAGAGCAAGATACACCTGTTTCAAAAGATATGGTTGCACTACATGTCTTAGATTTTTAAAAACATATATTAGGTTGCGGATACGATTTTTTAAATGTTGAATATGGTGTTCAAAAGATAGATTTTTGTCTAGAAGGATACCCAAATACCTGACAACCTCAACTCTTTCCAATAACGGACATCGGCAGGAAGTGAGAGAGCTAGGATTTTTTAAAATACAGCTATGTGCAAGTAGAGAGAAAGCGTTTCCTGGTTGTGTCACATCACAAATGGAAAAGGTCAGATATTTGGTTTTCTCCGCATTTAAAGTTAATTTATTAGAGCACAACCACCTTTGTATAGTATTGAATGAATTTTGGGCAGCTTCAAAAGTTTTTTTCCAATCACCCTCTGCAAAAAGTAGCACAGTATCATCTGCATAGCAAATAGACTTTCCAGAAATGAGCTTCATTTGACAGAGATCATTAATATAAATTGTGAATAAGGTGGGCCCCAGTATACTGCCCTGAGGTACACCGTAGGTCACTGGTAAATCTGAACTCCTGTGATTACTAATTTTAACACTTTGCAATCTATTTTTCATGTAACTCTTAAATAAATCTAACTGCTTTCCACGCACACCAAGCCTTTCAAGCTTTTCCAGTAAGATAGGCACAGGGACCGTATCAAAAGCTTTCGCTAAATCTAAAAAGATCGCTAAACATTGTCTGCCTTTATACAAATTTTCTGAAATAAACTTAATAACGTCATGCATAGCACCATCTGTGTTTTTGCTAGATCTAAAGCGTTTTCTAATTGGTTTTTAGCGAACAGATTGTTCGTCTCTGAATAGTTGATAAGGCATTTATTTATTATTTTTTCTAATAATTTGGACATAGCTGGGAGTAAAGCTATAGGTCTATAGTTAGTAACTTGGTCTCTGTCCCCCCCTTTGTGTATAGGGATTATAATAGATTTTTTAAAAGCTTCGGGAAATACACTATATTCCAAGCACCTATTAAAAATATGCGTTAATATCAGTACAAGTATATTTTTATTATTTTTTAGAAAAACATTTGAAATATTATTCCAACCAGTGGAGCAATTGTTTTTGAGATTCATGATAAGTGATTCAATTTCAGATTCATCAGTACTGAAATAACATTACCAATAAAATAATAAAACATATTGATATATTGAATATACAAATGTAATTGTTATTTATAATTATTTATAATAAGTACATTTTTTTTCCTACTATTTGATGTAAATTCAGTATGGTTTTAAAATGTGGCAACACTGGTGTTCGTGAAAAATTTAGAATATATGATAGGGATGACTTGTCTTCCTAAAACAAATAGATTTCAAAGTTGATTTGAATCAAAATCTGATGTAAATAGTTTTTTATAATCATTAATCCATTAAGAAGAGGCAAAAGAAACAGCACACAGCCATTTTATGAGTTTTCAAATAATTAAGTGAAAAACTGTAGCTTTTTTACGTGTTTGGGTACAATTAGCTAATTGTAAATAATTTTATGGTTCTTATCAAAACAGAAAAAATCGAACCTTCATTTCTAGGGTGAAATATCTATTAACTGGGTTGATTCAGTACTATATATCAATTTAAAAAATTGATCTTTTTGGGACAAGAAATCAATTCTTCAATTAATCGATCTCTGATTGACATAGTTAATGTATTGCCTTAAAAGTCTCCCCATTTAGTTAAATTTTATTTTTTGTGTGTATATATTTTTTATTCATTCTCTGAAATGGATTACACACTTAGAATCTTAATAAAATACCTAAAAGCACCCACACAGATTGGGCAGGGTGTTTACATTAATTGTTTATATTTAACACAGTCCTCAAGTTAATGTTTTAAACAGTACTATCATAATCAAATATATAACATTGTTAATTATAATATCTAATATGCAATTGGGTATTGGCAAACGTGAGTCAAAACTTGTTTCAAAATTTCTCACCTCAATGCCAAAAAAGGTTTTGATGGCATGCAAATGGTCAAACTCACGATTATTTTCAAAAATATTCTTAATTCCAGGTTTTAAACATAATCTACAATTCTTCTCAAATGTATTCTTTGCAAGAATATTTCTCAAATCACTAAAAATATAAGAAAATATATATATGTACTAAAGATATCTGATATTTTTCCAACTTATGGTCACATACCTCATAGATAAATATATATGTAGCAAGCTAATATACCTTCTTATTAGTTTGTGGTCATATACTTACTACAGGTTTTTTTGTCTCTCTTTCATGTTTTTAATTTTCTGATGTTTAATATTTTCAAATTCTGTTTTATCTAATTTTACACTCATTAGTTTGTGAGCCAAGAAAATTGTAGTCATTGTTTTTATTACGTAAAGTATTTAACAAATACACACAAACGTTAAAGTTTAAACTCAAATAAACAAAATTATAGACTGTGTACAATACAATTATAAATTTACGACTGTTTTCTGTGATATTAATGCTGTTATTCAGTTGGGCTTTTACAGCTTCATCTAACAATTTACAAAGAATGCAAATTGTATCACTTTTTAGGATATTTTATAAATAAAAACAATAAAAAAGTATTGTAGGTAGGTATGTACAATAAACTTTGCTGAACTTTGCTCTCCACTTCTCCAGTATTATATATTAGTTAGTCTATGAACTTTGCAATTATTTGTTTTTATTAAAAGGCAAAAGTATTTATGCCTATACAGCCTAGTCTGACGTGTGTTTTTGCTTTTATAATGGACTTGTACGATTGCACTTTTGCCAATGTCAAATAATAGGAAATTATCGTTAAAATAATTTATTTACAAACTTCCCCACAATATCTTCATGCATCACGTTACAGAGTTTTTGGGAGATTTTGACGATCTTAAGCAGGAAGATGAGGACAGTCTCAAATTCTTAAGACACCTGATCGGACAAAATAACTTATGGTTTATATTTATATCGTAACACTTATCTCGTTGTTTCCACTAAGCGCAGACACTGAATACACAAAATCGTATCACTTTTACACATCAACATCCATTTTATACTATTATTTGAACGAGAAAACAACAACAAAAATCCGCCGACGACGATCAAGTTTCCGTCAAAATTCCAACGTGTAATTTGTCCTTAATAAATAAGTTACTAAACTTTGTTTTTATTTCAGTTCCATGAACGTTGTTCATTTCTATAGTTTCTATGATTTATGCTTTGCAGCTTGACGCTCGTTCAGATTTCAACCTTTTTCTGTTGTAGTCAACATACCCAAACATCGCTTGTAAGTTTCGAACTTGGACCCCTTTTCACATTTTACGTTTTTGGTAGGATTTACAACTTTCCGCAATTCGACGCCACGAACCTAGCGGCTGACCTGTTTGCCCGATCTATATTGGACGAGTCACTGCTCACATGGTCATTGAAGTTGCATTTGAGGACTGTTTTTATTTATGTGCATTATGAATGTTTCACAACGTCACTGGCGTGTGTAGTAAATCCTTTGTCGAATTTTTATTGCTCATCCCCTAGTCTAGTCTATCGATGGTAAGTGCCAGTAGATAGGTATTGGCGCCCGCGTATAGCGCGAGCATGACATGTTCACCTACACCTGGAAGCAACCTTTCAAGGTAAGAATGTCTTTGTTGTATGCCACTTACGTAGAAGTAGAGAGAAGCAGCCGCTTTGAGCACACAGACCAGAATAGGACGTAGGGTCTTATAGATCAAGCCATAGTGCCACTCTAGGTGGATCGGCTGCTCTATGAAATGGAGTAGGTACTTGTTTTTTTTTAATTTAATTTTGAACACCACACATGCAACAAAACTCCTACTTAGTTCAGTATCTGTCACAGAAGGTTTTCCTTGAGAGTATTTCAAACACTTTGAAATACAGACGAGATATTAAAAATGTCGTCGTCATATAACGCCAACATAGTCCTTAAATAATTAAATTATCGGCGCCTTAATTACTAGCTTCTGTAATTGAACTTTATAGAAAGCTGCGTAGGTACACCGAACTTTTTTTTGACCTGTCAATATTTGTATCAAATTGTCAATAAATCTTAGATAAATATTATAAACTTAGAATATAATGGCGTAGTATATTCTAAGTCTATGATAAATAGTGACTAGTAATGCCATCTATCTAGTCGTTATATAAAACATTCATAGAATAAAGTCCAGTAGTCCAGTTTGTTGCAAACTATTCACGTGTTTTAATGGGTCTTTATTTTTTATTTCTCTTTTACCTAATCATCTTTGTTACCCAAAAACATACAGAAATCACAACCACATTAAAAAACGGGTTCCCAAAGTTTTAAAATTCACGGCGCACTGAGAGGTTTAGTATTTTTCATAGCACCCTTGTCAAAATTTGTGTGAAGTGACACTAATAAGACATAGAAAGTGAAACAACTTCATCAAAAGAGTTGGATATTCATAAAGTACTCATAGAGTTTTAGAAGCGGCGCCCGTATTTACACCCTAGGGCGCCGCGGCGCTACTTTGGGATCCCCGGTACTATAGGCACTAACTTACGTAGGTGATATAAATATTCTTTGGGCACTAAGTGCGACCTTTGTTACCTTTAAGGTTAATCATATATAATACATGTAATATACTGAAACTTAATTCTTATTACAGTTTATAATTAATTATTAAAGTTTTCAAATAACTGCTAATACAAATACATACATAATATATTTCTAACATTCAATGAATTATACCACAGGCAACCTACTAAGAGGATGTTATCTTATAGTAAATGGCAAAATAATACAATGAAAATAAAAAAATTATTAAGTAGGTACATAGTACATAGGTAATATAGTATAATTTATAAGATTAATAAGAGTAATGAATGAAAAAAATATATGTTTTGTACCCGATCTAAGTAGGTATTCAGAGTTTATATAAATTTCGATATTAATACCGATTGTAAACTTATTATACTGATTCATTGAGTTATATGTACTACGTACTAGAGAAGCCATTCCAAACAAAAATTTTGTCCTACTCAATGTCTTTGCGCATGCGCGGAAGTAGTAGTCGCGCATGGGCGAACACTTTAATTTGTTATAAAATAAGATATTTATATAAAATAAATATAAGAATTTAATATAAAATATCTTAATTTAATCTAAACAAACATATTATACTTTGAATAAACTACTTTTACGGATTTTATCGCGTTTAATTAAGTTATTTTATATTCCCGACGTTTCGCTTGCTTTCCAGCAACCGTGGTCACGGGGGACTGAGGTAATTGACGTCCCTATGACAAAGTTAACCCGGAGTAGCTTCAGCTTTTTAATTATTAATTTTGGTCCGATCTACGCAGAATGAACTAACTGTGTCTTGAAGTCTTGCAGTGGTATGCTTGGGTTTAGTTTTAATTTTATGATTTACAGGATCCCAAGCAGGTGGTAGTACCCAGCCTCCCTCTCTATTGAAATTAGGATGTTTTTTAATTTCAATAGCCCCACGTATCATCCTTGGCAGGAATCGATGTTCTTTCGCGAGAACTTGTGGTTTATCAAATCTAATGTAATGGCGGGGGCCGTCTAGGATATGATCACAAACTGCAGACTTCCCGGAACGTTGGTGCTTCAAGTCAGCTATGTGTTCTTTTACGCGGGTTTTTATTGATCGTTTTGTTTGCCCTATATATGAGAGACCACACTCACAATCAAGCTTGTATACTCCTGCATCTTGTAGAGGAATATTGCACTTGACGGATGGTAAGAACTGACTAATCTTCTTCGGCGGTTTGAAGAATGTTCTAATAGAAGCCCGCTTCAAGATGTAGTCAATCTTGTCTGTGACACCTCTGACATATGGTAGTACAGCAGGCACACGCTCGACTGTGGCCGGCTTCACTCGGTCACTGTGACGTAGGCGCGGAACCCGAAGCTTGTTGTCGTGCAGAACCTGCTTGACGTGCTGAAGCTCGGCGGCCAGGTGTTTGCTGTCACAGATCCCTCGTGCTCTCTGCAACAAAGATTTGCCCACGGTAGCTAACTGTGAAGGGTGATGGTGGGATTCACCGTTTAAGTATCGGTTTGTATGGGTCTTTTTTCTATAAACAGTGTGGCCTACGGTGTTATTAGGATTTCGAATGACTAACACATCTAGGAAAGCTAAAGAATTATTTGCCTCTAACTCCATAGTAAATTGAATTTTAGAGTTTATGGAATTAAGATGTTCTAAAAATGCAGTTACTTTGTCTGATGGTAAAATTGTGAAAGTATCGTCTACGTACCGCTTGTAGAAACTTGGAGTTACTGGTGCAGTAAGCAGGGCTTTCTCCTCAAAGTCCTCCAATTTACGCAATATTTAGTTTGTATGGATTGCACTACAGTTCAGTTGAACATAGTCTATTTTCGGAATGGCTTCTCTAGTACGTAGTACATATAACTCAATGTACTGATTATATTCGTCCCCAATTATGTACCAAATTCATCTCCGTACATCTCATAAATAGACGAACAGTACACTCTAGCCAAGTTTGCGTATTTGGAATCATTTGGTACTTTCAATCCATGCGTAAGTTTATTCCATATATGATGGGTATAAGTATTAGGGGTATCAAGGACTCGACCAGACTCGAAATATTTTTCTTTCTCGCTCCAGTGTACAGGATAAAAGTAATTTTGTGCGTATACACTAAAACCTGCAATAAATGTTTTAATTTAAACAAGAGATTGTATTGTGCCTAGTATATTATGTACATTATATATATGGCATTCACTTACGTAGCTCGAATCGAGCAGTCGTGCCTATTAGCAATTATACAAGTGTTTACATATTTTCAATAAAATTGTGATCTGGATAAGCCATTGGACAATTGGACCCATTTACGCAAACAGGAACCAACCCACGCAGGTTGATTTCGAGAAAATGGGATTTTTGTTAAAAGAGTGTGCAAAATGTACATGAAGCATATTAAGAAATAAATAATTACTAAACTTATGTGGGAAATCGAAGCCTTTCTAGGAATATATAATTCATACATTTTTATAAGACCTTACCATAAGTAATAATAAAAAAAACGGGTTGGTTCTTTCTGGCAAAAAGCAAATTTGTGGCTTGGTTCCTTTTGAAATTGAACGTGGGTTTCAATTTCTATAATATTTTTAAAAATAAAAAGTTTTCTTTGCTTTCAACACTTTATTGCTGTGAAATATCTACCTTAGCATTTTTTACATCTAACATACAAAAATCATAAAAGGAATACAAATAATTTAAGCAAAAAATCTCCATTGTCATCTTCTGCCTTAAAATCAATAGCACCAGTATAACCATCAATATCATCTTCTATGTCGTTGCTGCTTTTTATTTTTTTATAAAAATCTAGTCCATCTTCCGGTATAAGGTGCACAATATTTTTTAAATTGTTTAATTTTGCCTCGGAAATAGGTTTCCTAGTGGGCCAAAGCAAGTTCATATCACGCTTGGATAAAGGTGATGATGTCACACTCCTACGTTCCGTTGAAGCCACATTATGACCCTCTTGCTGACCACGCTTATCTTTTAGGCAATTATTCCGCATTTTTTAATAGAATAAGGATGATATACGAGCACACAGTCCACCTGATGGTAAGTGGATGCTGTGGCTCATAGACATCTACATTTATCCTCAATTATGAATTAAAATGCAGATGCGTAGTCAGCCGTGAAGACTAAGATGGAATGCCTCTTTTCCAGTAAAAACAAATAAGTCATTCAAATAATATTCCCGAGAATATGTTTTGATTTTTCGTTATAGTCGTGACGTATGCGCGTTTTTTTTGTTTTTATTGAATGCATGCTATTTATTAGATACATATTTTGGGCAACAATATGAGCCTTACGAATAGAATTTATTAAATTCTATAAGTATTTTCTTCAGTAGAAATATTCTCTTGACATTTTTTTACACAACTGCAGTTATAATCGATGAAAACCTTCAAATAGGTGATTTGCTTCTTAGAGTTCTTATAGCTTTGGTTATTGGTAGTACTGTCTCTTCTTTCTGTCTTCTCTTAGTGCTCCATCATGTAATACTTTTCTACCTGTTGGTTGGTCTTACTTGGTATGAAGATTCAGTTTCAGTTTCTTTTTCTTGCAATATTTAACTGGTATTAATACTTTCAAGTAACGTCTCATTCGGTGTTTAATTGACTTCTGTTAATGTTGTTATCAATGACATATAATTTTCAGACCTTTTATCACCAAACATACTATTTTCATCATGACATACGAAATTTGGATCCCGTACAGAATTATCGCTATTTATGTCGAATGAAACCGGTAAATTTTGTGCAGCGTTTTTATTATGATTATTTTATCCTTACCAAGAGATTCAGGTAGAATATTAAATAATTCAGTTGTCTCTGGTGACATCGGTCGCAATGGGGAAGATGGATGACCAGGGTTTGGGTATCCATTTTTTATTGAATCTTTTGATTTTAGAGATTGAAGGACAAGACACCCTAGTGATTCGATGCTTCTTTTTGAACTTTCGTAAAGCAGCGCACCGATTTTAAGTAGCTCGTTGTCATTGGATAAAGAAATTGTTCATGCATTGTTTACCACCACTTGTGTTATGTAATATGCTAGCAAGCGATTGCGACATTCTAGGTGTAAGTAGAGAATAGCAAGGCGGCTCTATACTTATTTCCCCAATATCCTCAACAGCATTTTCATTTGAAACTTTATATTCCCATTCCCGTACATGTAACACAGTAGGTCTAGGCGTTAACTGGGAATATAATGGAGGGCTAATGCTTTTTCACCATGATTCTTTTTCATTGTTAACTGTCAAAGCTAGAAATAAGCACCCTTTTCCAGACAAAAAAGTACGTCATCAGCAACATACAAAACCACAGAAGAAACCAAAATGTTTTCTTCTGACATATTATATAATAAAATAGTTAAGTTGCAACCTACCTGTAACCTGTAGTTTACATCTTCATAATTTAAGATGCAGGGACTTTTTAATTACAAGGATGTGTCTCAATTTATTATCAAAATATTAATTTAAAATCAGAGTTGACTACTTTTTTAGGGTATAAAGCAAATTATTAGTGTTTAGGTATCAAGTTACCTAAGTTAAGAATTAGTCTCTAGAAATCTCTTATATACATTTGCCTTGCAGCGTTCCGACGACTAAGAACAGAGATAAAAAACCCTTGTGGATCCAACCCACTTTTGCCAACATTAAAAAAAAGAAATAAAACTATGCACTTGGTGCCTTCAGGACCTAAGCATTTCCATTATACAAACAAGAACCATAGTTACTTGGCTCTGTTTGGCACAAAAAGTTACAATATTTTAGTAACTAAATAGGACCAACCAACTTTGGTTCTTCTTTGCATAATGAAAATACTTAGGCCCTAAAGGTATCAAGCGGCATGGGTCTTTTTAGCGTTCAAATTCGATACTGAATAGTGCACCATGTAGTATAGTTCTTTTCTGTTTTTTTTTTTTAAATTGTCCCAAGTGGGTTGATTCCATAAGTGACAGTGTTGTATCTCTGTTTTTAGTCGTCGGAAAGCTACAATTTTTTTTAAGAAGATAGAACGCGTCTTTGAGCGCCATCTATGTACCAAACTCAATTTCACTCAAACTGTGGGTTGGTTTCTGTTTGCGTAAATGGGTCCAATTTCCGCTTAGTTGTGATTTTAGAGTAGTGAATAACAAATTATAATGGAAAATATATGAGAGAAATCATTGAGCCGTGGTTGGTCAGCGCTCGCTGTAAATTTTACAGTACGCGAGCAACCCGGGTTCGATCGCCGCCAGCACCAATGAAATTGTTAATTACAATTTTAAGTGCTGATTTACCACGCGCTCAGCAGTGAAGGAAAAAGAAATATTTCGAAGACATGTGAAGTTCGCCAACACGCATTGGGGTAGCGCGGTGGACACTTCCTTGCCCTAAAACCCTCTCAGAAATGAGGAGAGGCCTGTGCCCAGCAGTGGGATGTATATAGGCTGTATTGTTTTGTTTGTTTGTATGTCTAATATATTCGAAAATAGCCCTTTCAAACGGAGCACCATTACAACTCGGAGACCGCCCAGCACGCCTCAACCACCATACCGTGATGCTGCAGACTCCATTGAATCTTTAGCCATCAACGAAATTTAAAATTGGATGACCTCAATCGAACAGTGCATTAATGAAGTTTGCCATATTGCCCAGGAGGGAAAACTAAACTCTGAACAAAGCTGAGAACCAATTCCCTATCGCAAAAGGTCGATAATGCAGCCTCTCAGATGGCAGTACACTACCAATCGTTGAAACAAAAGACCGCATCCCGTCCCAATCGGCCGACCTATAGTGCCAAACACGGCGGCAAGCTGCAAATCGCAACCGCGATGGGAGCGTGACCGTACTCCGGATCAGACAATGGTCCAAAGAGCCAAGAGGGGCATCGACGGAGACCTGATATCCGTCCGGAAGGTCCAATAGGGAAGGTGTATGATCCTCCACATCTGGAATCCGCGTAGGTGAAGTAACCAGATGTGTCAGACCATATGCCAAGGCAAAGTCATAAACAGATCTTCCCGCAATATCGGTTAAACGTGAACCGAACCATTCGGCGTGGTGAGCGTAAACTCGCCAAGTATCACGATCTCTACGGTTGAGATCTGTTGTAGCAAGAAATCTGTAGCCATTTGGACGTGGTTGATGAGTCGGTCTGTGTCGGCATTACCGCTATGGGACCTTTACATGCACCCGTAGACGCGGGGATGGTCGTCGCTATCCAGTGGCGTATCAAAATTTGTTGGGAGGCCCCAATGAAGAGTAAAGATTTCATAAAAGGAACAAAAACGGTTGCATTGATATAAAATTATTATATATTGGTTAGAAGTTATTACTTACAATGTTAATTGTAAGTAAGTATTAACTCCTAGGAACTAAGCTAGTCAAACAATTCAAATCAAATATACACTTTTCTTGCCTTTTGTTCGGCGAACATAGCTGAACACGATTCAGTGGCATTCATAGCTGAAGACGATTTCAGTTTTTCTAAATTATTTGCTTCTATAAACAGTAGTGATAGCCTTTTCTGTCCGATAAAAGTCCTTGGAATTTTGGTTTATACAGGTTCGGGGCCCCTGTAGCCCGGGGCCCCCGTATCATTGATACGGCTGATACGGCGGTAGCTACGCCCCTGTCGCTATCTACGCGCAGCCAAAGGATGGACAGGTCCGTACCTTCAAGTCTGCCAAGGCGTCGAGAACAGATATCCTCTCTGACGTATACGCAAACTCCGGCCCGGGCTTCCAAAGAAGTGTTCTAATTTGTACCCCGGGTAGGATAGGTACGAAGTATCAGCCGGAATGGATACCTGTGTCTCGGTTAGAAAGAACAGGGCCGGCTTTGCCGCTTCCAGATTTTAGTGGACGGCGTTAAGGTTTGAATGAAGTCTCCTGACATTGCAGATATTCACGAAAAGCGTGGCAGGGGTTGCTCCGTTTGCCCCGAACAGGTTTCGTTTTGAGCGGAATTTCGCCCCCCCCCCCCAAAATACGCGGGGCAGCCTGAGCACCCACGCTCAGAAAAAGTAGGGTAGCTTGGGCGTGGATGCTCAGTGAGGGGTTATCAACATTAGCCAGGTTGTAACTAAGTTTAAACTTGCAAGTTTGCTATCAGAGAGTGAGCCTTCTGTTCTCTTAACTATTGTTAATTCTGTGGTAGAATTAAGTTTCATAGATTATAGTCATTTTAATACAAACAAATAAACTGGGGAAAAATGAAAAGCATAATATAGTGTAAATAAAGTACACTAGATTGGGTCCAGATTTAAGTTTACGATGGTGATGTAGATTAAACGATTTACGTGAAAAAATTCAAAAATTAAAACTACAACAGTCCTGGTTTGAACTGATCAGTTGGACTGATGAGTTGAACAGACCGTGTGTGTAGAACTTTTTTTGGATTAAATCCGTTTGAACTGATAAGTTGAACTGATGTCAGTTTAACCAGTTTAACTGACCGTGTGTGTTGGCCATTACACTCATAATTTTTTCTATGTTGATGTATGTAACCTATAAGTGTGCGTAAAATGTAACAGTGTTGAAGACTTAGATTTGTGTGTGCCATAATGACACAAGCCGTGTAGTGGCGGTTAAGAATATCCACTACCCCATATCTTCCCGTGGGTGTCGTAAAAGGCGACAAAGGGATACAGGCAGGAGATGGGCAGCAGCATCTTCCTGGTAACGGCAAAAATACAATAAAAAAACTGCGGTTGCCAACTCGCTCGCCAAGCGTGGCAACTATGGCAATATACCCCCCATGATGAGAGTTACGAAGAGACGGCCCCCAGTCCCCAGCGGCCCCGCTATTCCTGGCTACGGTGGCGACCATGGTAACGGCGGGGCAGGGGGTGCTAAGAATCTCCGGTGGAGGTTCGGTTGCCATCTACAACGACTTGACCTGGCAACATACAACGCACGCACCCTGAGGACTGACGAGAAGATTGTGGAGCTGGAAGAAGAGATAGATAAGTTATGCTGGCATATTATAGGATTATCCGAAGTCCGAAGAGAGGGGGAGGACACGGTAATCCTCGAATCCGGCAACTTGCTCTATTACCGGGAGGGCGACCATCTGTCCCAAGGAGGTGTCGGATTTATCGTCCACAAGTCTCTCGTTAACAACGTTGTAAAGATTGAGAGTGTGTCGACGAGGGTTGCGTACCTTATACTCAGAATCACCAAATGGTATTCGCTGAAGGTCATACAGGTTTACGCACCAACCTCGGCACACCCCGATGAGGAGGTGGAGGAAATGTATGAGGATATCTCTAGAGCCATGCATTCCTCCAAAACCCAATATACGGTGTTAATGGGAGACTTCAATGCAAAACTAGGCACAAGAGAGAACGGTGAGCTGAAAGTGGGAAAATTTGGAATAGGGCAACGGAACCCAAGGGGCCAGCAGCTGGCCGACTTCATGGAGAAAGAGGGACTCTTTATGATGAACTCTTTCTTCCAGAAGCGGCCCCACAGGAAGTGGACCTGGTCGAGCCCCGACGGTTCGACAAAAAATGAGATTGACTTCATTATGACGACCAGACGACAACTGTTCAGTGATGTCTCAGTGATCGCGAGGGTGAAAACCGGCAGCGATCACCGAATGGTTAGAGGCACACTGAACCTAAACGTTAAGTTGAAGAGGTCTCGTCTAATGAAGTCAACGCTCCGTCCCCCTCGTGCTCTAATCCAAAGTCCCGAAACCTTTCAGCTCGAGTTACAAAACCGTTTTCAGTGCCTAGAAGACTGCAATAAAGTGGAAGATTTGAATGACAAGCTCGTGGAAACTGTCCATACGGTCGGAGCTAAGTTCTGCAAGACCCACCGCAGAAGAACACAAAAACTCTCCGATCACACTCTTAATCTCATGGCTGTTAGACAGGAGATGAAGCTACATTCTTCAACAGATTTGACAGCATACAGGTAACTGAACAGACAGATCTTCAAGTGCATGCGGCGGGACTTGCGCAACTTCAATACAGCTCGTATTGAAGAAGCGATCGAGCGGAACCAAGGCTCCAAAGTCTTTGCCAGAGATCTGTCTGCCAGAAAGAGCCAACTGTCAAAGCTGAAGATCGAATGTGGCAGCATCGTTTCCGGGGCACCTGAGATTTTGAGTGAGATTGAGAGGTTCTATGGGCAGCTGTACACGTCATCATTGGAGCCGCACGCAAGTGTGAGTAACGATCCAAGAGCGAGTCTTATCCGACATTATTCCGATGATATCCCGGACGTCAGTCTGAGCGAGATTAGAATGGCTCTCCAGCACCTTAAAAACGGCAATGCCCCAGGCGAGGATGGAATTACAGCGGAGATTCTGAAAGCGGGTGGAAAACCGGTACTTGAAGTCCTTCAGAAGCTCTTTAATTCCGTCCTCCATGATGGCATTACACCGGAGGCGTGGAGCAGAAGTGCGGTGGTCTTGTTCTTCAAGAAAGGCGACAACGCTCTCTTGAAGAACCACAGACCGATTTCCCTTCTGAGCCGCGGCTACGTGCTGTTTTCGAGAGGCATTACGAATCGTCTCGCGCGCAGACTTGACGACTTCCAGCCTCCCGAACAAGCCAGTTTCCGAAAAGGCTTTAGCACCATAGACCATATACATACCCTTCGGCAAATTGTACAGAAGTCCGAGGAGTACAATTTGCCATTATGTCTGGCGTATGTGGACTATGAGAAAGCCTTTGATTCCGTCGAAATTTGGGCGGTGCTGCAGTCTCTTCAGCGATGCCAAGTTGACTGTCGGTATATCGAAGTGTTGAAGTGCTCGTACAGTAGGGCTACGATGGCTATCCGAGTACAGAACCAGAGTACGAAACCTATCCAATTGCAGAGAGGTGTAAGACAGGGTGACGTCATATCCCCGAAACTCTTTACCGCTGCATTGGAAGATGTTTTCAAGCTTCTGGACTGGAAAGGATACGGTATCAACATCAATGGCGAGTACATCACTCACCTTCGATTTGCCGACGATATTGTCCTTATGGCAGAATCGCTGGAGGACCTAAGCACTATGCTCAATGACCTCAATAGTGTTTCCCAACGGATAGGTCTTAAGATGAACATGGACAAAACAAAGATCATGTTTAATGTCCATGTCACACCTATGCCGGTAGTTGTTGGGAACACTAAGCTCGAAGTTGTTGACGAGTATGTTTACCTGGGACAAATAGTCCGACTAGGTAAGTCCAACTTCGACCGAGAGGTCAATCGACGGATTCAACTCGGTTGGGCAGCGTTCGGGAAATTACGACACATCTTCTCGTCAGGTATACCTCAAAACTTGAAAACGAGACTGTACACTCAGCGCGTGTTGCCAGTGATGACATACGGAACTGAGACGTGGTCCTTCACTGCTGGCCGGATGAGGAAGCTTAAGATCGCTCAGCGAGCTATGGAGAGGGCTATGCTCGGAGTTTCTCTGCGTGATAAACTCAGAAATGAGGATATCCGTAGTAGAACCAGAGTGACCGACATAGCACAACGGATTAGTAAGCTGAAGTGGCAATGGGCCGGCCATATAGCTCGAAGAACCTACAACAGATGGGGAAGAAAGGTTCTCGAGTGGCAGCCTCGTACCGGCAGGCGAAGTGTAGGGCGTCCCCCACTAGATGGAGTGACGACCTGGTAAGATATGCAGGAAGTCGATGGATGCAGGTGGCTCAGGACCGTGCTTTGTGGCATTCTTTGGGGGAGGCCTATGTTCAGCAGTGGACTTGTGAAAGGCTGTAATGATGATGATGATGATAATGACACAAAATTTTATTGAGTAGGTGTGCAGTAGTGTCTATGTAGGGTTTCCTCGCCATACACCTAAAGTGACAGACTTTTTTGTTCGTAGCATTAGGCGCATTACTCATCCTTTGGTTCAATGTTCTAAGTTACCATCAGGTGGACTTTGTACCCTTATTCTATAAATAAAAACCTGCAGAGGGGTGTAAGACAGGATGAAGTTACATCATTACCTTTTCTATCTTATCTAACTTTTTTCAAACTAGAAAATTTTCTTTGATTCAAATGATTGCTTTAACCTCACTCATAGAACCGTTCACTGATGGTTTCTTTCGGTGTGATCGGGCGGCTAATGTTTATGCGTCTTTCGCGCGCTGAGCCGAGTGTTGAATTATTTTAATATTTCATTATCCGTAACCGCGTATGCGCCCAAATAACATGCAATAAGGGGCAAAGTTTATCTTCATAAAATTGTTTTAATGATGAAGTAACTTTCGTTCGTAAGGATTAAAATATACCATGCCTAATAATAATGCTTATAAATCACTGTTTAACTTTCAATAATTTTTTTGTCAAAAAGTACCTTATTGTGGCTTAAGTTTAAGGAACAGGCATATGATATTGCCGATTTTTTTTAGATGAAGTAAAGATCTACATTTTGGTGAAACATTGTATTTACGTACTCGTATCACTAACAATTACGCCAGCGCACGCTAATAAACCATTCTGCTTTTTCTTCTAACTCGCTTAGCAAAAATAAATATTATTGATAGCTGAGATGTGTATCCTAATGTTAGATAGCCTATACTATTTCTCATGAATCTGGTAGTTCCAAAGATTAGCGTTTAAACAAACACAAAATCAAAAAACTCTTCCGCTTTATTATATTAGTATAGATGGAGAATACTAAACTTACCTTACAACATGTCGACTGTGTGCTCGTTCTTGTTTTACTTTTCATTATCATCATCATTATCAGCCTACGACAGCCCAGAGCTGGACATACACCCGTCCCAAAGCGCGTCACTTAGCCTTTTACCTTTACTTTTATATAAAAATAAGAAGATAAAAATAGAGATGTTAATTAAAATTAAATACCTTTACATTTTTCGGGAGTCATTTGGTTTAAATCTGTGGTGTTGCAGATGTTTTTGAGCACCCTTGTTATGGCTCCGGGGCCGTTGTAAGCCCACAAATCGCCTCTATAATTTTCCTTAATTTCACTGTCAAATATATATATTCAACAATTAGTACATTATATTTTTTTACCCGACAGCCCCAGAAGTTGGGTTGTTTATCGTGTGTATATTATATTATGTAGGTTTGTTTATTTCTTTGACTCTCTGAAATTTAAACCGCGGCTTGGTGAAATATAACGTGCTAGGTATCTTTAATTAATTATTTATAATTGTTAATTACATTTTATGTTAATACTTTAAGCGAACATTGTTGTAATACATTATTTTACTCGTATGTTAATGGTTTCTCGGAACGGCTCGTACTAAACGATTTGAGTGAAATTTTGTATTTACATAATGTTTTGTTTTCCAATCTTATCTAGATAGGAGTTGTCGGTAAATTTTCTTTCTAATGCTATGTGACACTTCGCCCAGGTAGGTAAGTAATAACTGGTAATAATAGCAGCGATATAATGCCCTCAGAACATAAAACTCATTTTGATTAATATGAAATATTATTACTTACTTCACTGGGCCCTTTTCCTTCTTATTATCAATATCTATTATTTTTATTATTAATTCTTTGTTAACTCTTACCTATTACATTGTGATTTATATCCTACGAAAAACATAAGTTATAATTTGCACTATGAGGCATGCAAAATACAAGTCGCAGGCATTGAGTTATTTAGGGTTGCCACCTTTTTTGAACATATATAGTATTTTTCCCAAAAAAGGTAAAAGAATATAGTAATTTTAGGAAATTCAAGAAAAAAAGTACACATTTATTTTTAACCTTTATATATTTTTCCGTATATATTTGTTATTGCTCTTCGCTTTGGCCATCAATGATCTACGTTTAAAATAATTATAGGAATCTGAGGAATTTATATACATATTAAAATAAATGAACAATAATTATTAATATAATTAAGACATGCTCCATTTCTTTCTTCTTTCGATTTTGCATTCATGACGGAAAAATTCTTTCCCTAATACTTAGGTAAATGTTCCAGACTTAGTCACAGTTGATATAAAAAGCGTGACAGTAGAATTAGAGATAAAAATATAGTACTTTTCATACTATATTATTTTTCTATAATGTATAGTACAATTAACTGAAATATAGTACGACCTATATATTATAGTACGGGTGGCAACCCTAATTATGGTGTGGATTTATCAAGTCCGCATGGAGGGGTAAACAAGATAACTTTTGAAAATATCGATCGCTGTAGAAATACAAAATATTCCAAAAACCAAATTTGATACTTTTTTAATCACAGATTTTTATTACAATATTTTGTTTCGCTAAAAGTATCTATATAGGATTTATTTATAAATACTTAGTCGGGTCATAAGTTCTGTCAAAACCTTATTATTTAAAATGTTTGCATACTGGCTAGATGAACTTCACCAATTTTAAAAATATAACGTTTGCGCTTGTCGAAAAGAAAAAAGACATTAATTTTCATTAATTTTTAAATATGGAGTGGTCGAAAAAATAAGATAGCGTAGCGGTTATCGCGTTACACCGCTGTGGTTATGTGCCAAAAGAGATTTTCAATATTCTATAAAATTGAAAATAACCCTACGATTTGTTTATCGCACTATCAAACCATTCACTGATTCAAGCTTCGAAGATCGTAAGAGGACCGGCTGACCTGGTACAGTTAGGACACCCGCGATCATCAAAGCAGTGAAGGCGCGAATCCTACGAAATCCTGTTCGTAAACAAAAAATCTTAGCTCTTCAGATGGGCCTAAGCAGAACCACGATCAAAAGAGTGATCAATGAAGCCTAGGACTACGAGCTTATCGTAAGAACACAACAAGAACGAGCGTTTGGAAAAAAATAGGCTGGATAGATCCCGCGCTTTATTATGGCGGTACGCGGGAAAAAATGATACATACTTGACCAAGATTTTTATAATAACAGATTTTAATTACAATATTTTGTTTTGCTTAAAAGTACGTAGGATTTATTTATAAATATATCTACTTATACGTCTCGGGCTTTATGGAGTGACCTGAAGGTGTACTTCGGTATCTGCTACTGGAACTCCTCGACGAGTTGAACTAGGTGTGCCGAGATTGTGCTCGTTATATTAGTTATGACAAGACCTTACCCCGGAATTGACGGAGTGACCTGAAGGTGTAATTCGATGAATGCTACTGGAACTCCTCGAAGAGTACAACTAGGTGTCCCGAGTTTGGGCTCGTTTTGTTAGTTATGAATAGACCTTAACCCCGGACATGATGGAGTGTTTTTCAACGTGGTAGAGCCATGCTGCAGCTATATTTCTAGTATAGTTGTAACAAGAATGGATCGGCTCGACCTGGGAGGGACCACGCTCTCACAGAATACCAGCGTAAAATAGCAGCTTAATGCTGCTGTGTTTCGTATGGTGAGTGTAGAGAACCGGAGACCTTTTTTACTGGAAACGAGACATTCCATCTTAGTCCTCACGGGTGACAACTGTTATCGTCTTCCGGTCCTGGGTTCACGAGCTCGTCGCATAATTAAGTTTATTTTAATCTCCCAGAGAATTACAAAACCTTTATTAGATTAATAACATAATTTTTATAATACTTAATAAATGATGATTAAATAATAACTGACGCCTTCCGCTTGTCATCTTCCGGCGAACCTAAGATTAATGTTATTAAATGTGTATAAACAATTGTTATTAGTGTTTAGTCGTTGCTATATTGATTGACAGTTATTTTATAATTTATGATGCAATATTTATAGTAATAAGAATATTAATGTTCATTATTAGGTTAATATCTAAATTGTATAAAAGGCCGCTGTGACGGATAGATCAATCAGTTGTTTTGTAACCGCCAGTAAGTAAAGGAGTGAAGAGTAACTCTGTCAGTTTGTGAAAGTGATTACAAAGTATATATATACCAAGTAAAAATATCGTTTATCTGCGGTTAGTCGTACCTAGTCTATCCGCCATCTACATTTCAGAAGTGGGATAATGTCAGGCCCATATATTCAAGGTATTGGCGCAAAGAAACGAAGGTATAGAAAAAATTTGTCTTCCGAATACAACGAAAACCAAGATTTTTTTTCTTCAACTAGTGATGAGGATTCCGATCACGAATACCGCCGGCAGAAAAGGAGACATGTAACTCAAACCGATGCTGAAGTTATTCCAACGTTTCAGCCAGATGAAAAAACAAGCAACGTCAAGGGTTGGTTGCATAAAATCGACCAGTTGGGTGATGTGTACAATTGGAATAATAAGGATCGCCAGTTCATCATGCAACTTCGCCTTCGGGGTTCTGCCAGAGATTGGTATGACGATTTAGAAGATTATAATCTTACTTGGAGTGAGTGGAAAAATGCGCTAGAGACCGCGTTTCCACGGTCTACAGACTATGTTGATCTTTTAGAAGCTATGCTTGCAAGGAAGAAATCTAATAGTGAAACTATGACAAAATACTATCACGATAAAATATCTTTACTCAAAAAATGCAATATTGGAGGCGAGGAAGCGATATCATGTGTGATCAGAGGTTTACCGGTCGAAATAAGAGCTAATGCAAAAGCTTTTAAGTGCGACTCGCCGCAGCAGCTCTTTTATGGATACTTATCATCCCTTGAAAATTATAAGCAATTAGAACCTGCCGACAGTCTCCAACGACCCAGTACGACGTGGAAGAGAGGTGGCAATATTACATCGGCTACACCAGAAAATTATGTACTACCTAAGAAATGTTACGCATGCAGAAGACAAGGGCATGAAGTAAAGGACTGCAAAGTTCCACGGTGCGAGGTGTGTCACCGGCCTGGCCACACCATCGCCAACTGTTGGTATGCCACCAGTAATCCTCGACAACAGCCACATAAGGTCAGTAATATTTTGTTCACAACATATAATATTTATCTAGATCTATATAAAAAAGTGGTAAGGGTTAATGGGCAAAAACTTATTGCATACATAGACACAGGAAGTAAACTGAATATTCTTACTGCGACACAAGCTAATAGTTTGACGTTAGAAGTAGTGCCTTCTTCAATAAAGATGAAAGGATTTGGAGGTGCATATTCGAAATCATTGGGGACCTCGCGGATCGATGTGAAGATAGATGATATTATTATAAGTGGTTCTGTTGAGTTAACGAATAATGATTTAGCTGATATAGACTTAATTATCGGTCAAACAATGATAAATCAGAGAAATTTGTGCTTAGTTATTACTGAGAACTCTGTCAATTTTGTAAAAAACCTTGAACAAGAAAGTGAATTATGTGATATGCAGTTAAGTGAAATAGATTTCATTACAAAATTTCCAATATACTTAAATGATTGTACTGTAATACCGCAACGATGTTTGGCATATGTAAAAGTTTTCATTGATATAAATGATCATGACTGTACTTTACTAACTAAACCTGTATATTATGAGTTAGGGAGTATGTCTTATATTATTGTAGGCGGTCTTATAAGGCGAGGAATTGCCATTTAAAAGTAATAAACATAGGAGACGATGTTATTGAGTGGGAGTCGAATAGGCTCATAGCGCGTGCTGAACTTGTTAGTGGCTTAGAGCATAGTGAGCAGAGGGAAGTAATGACGATTGACCATCCTTCCCACAATGAGTTATTATTATCGGACTTAGATGTAGGTGATTTGGACACAGAAGAATCCAATAAATTACTAGAATTATTAAATAAATTTGGATACATGTTCGCCAGAAATACAAGAGATTTAGGTTGTACCGATGTGTTAGAGATGCGTATTCATACCACAACCGAGCAACCCGTTTTCTGCAAGCCCTGTCGACTTTCTCACAAAGAGAATGAAATAGTTAATGAAAAGGTTTAAGACCTGATTGCTGCAGGCATTGTAAGGGAGTCCATGTCTGAATACGCAAGCCCAGTGGTCCTTGTTAAAAAAAAGGGGGTGACTATAGGCTATGCATAGATTATAGAGCACTGAACTCGCGTACTGTTAAGGATCGATATCCACTACCTCATATAGAAGATCAGGTTACTCGCTTATCTGGAAAATCATTATTTACCACACTAGAT